ACCCTTACGAAAATTTCCTATAGGAATTCCTATAGGAAATCAAAATTCCTATAGGAATTCCTATAGGAATTAAAAATTCCTATAGGAATTCCTATATGAATTGAAAATTCCTATAGGAATTCCTATAGGAATTGAAAATGGTCAAAAAAATTCCTATAGGAATTCCTATAGGAATTGAAATTTCCTATAGGAATTGAAATTTCCTATAGGAATTCCTATAGGCATTGAAAATTCCTATAGGAATTCCTATAGGAATTGAAATTTCCTATAGGAATTCCTATTGGCATTGAAAATTCCTATAGGAATTCCTATAGGAATTGAAAATGGTGAAAAAAAATCCTATAGGAATTCCTATAGGAATTGAAAATGGTCAAAAAAATTCCTATAGGAATTCCTATAGGAATTGAAATTTCCTATAGGAATTCCTATTGGCATTGAAAATTCCTATATGAATTCCTATAGGATTTGAAAATGGTGAAAAAAAATCCTATAGGAAATAAAAATTCCTATAGGAATTCTTATAGGATTGGAAAATGGTGGGAAAAATTCATAGCCTATACCACTATGGCCTGATACATGCATGGGTATAAGAACTTTACTTATATAAAAAATTATACAGATAAAGGAGCGATTGCAGAATACCCGTCCACTTTTGAAAGCTTGTTTAAACGAATAAATGAATTAAAAGATTATTTCAAAACAGTTCACAATTAAAATTTAAAGATAAAACTTTAAGAATATGTTGCTTGTAGTTAAATTCAATGCCGGAGTCTTTGAAGAACGAAGCATTTAAAATTGACATTCTTTTCTGATTTCGCCATGTTTACAAGGGATTAATAGGTGTAATATGTCAAAGTGGACGGGTATTCTGCAATCTAACCCAGATAAATATAATTTACGAAATAACTCCTTCCTACAGGAATTTCTATTTTTATAGGAATTTTTTTCACTATTATCATATCCTATAAGAATTCTTATAGGAATTTTAATTTCTTATACAACTACACTATTCCTATATCGTATTTTACTCATAGACATTTATTAATAAAGAATTTAATACTGGGACTATTTATTTTCTAAGATTAAATGAATAATTACCGCAATGTGCGCGACTGACAGACTGGTGTCTAGTTTTCTTGCCACGCGCGCAAAGCATCAAGGGATAGATCATCACACCTCCGATATTTTTTCAAGTCAGTGTTTGTCAATGGTTTATGTGCAAAATAGAACTATTTTTGATGGGATTCAACTGGATTTTCACTAGTAATATATCAGGGATGTTTGCATAATGTTCAGGTAAGAATAAGTTTATATTTTATTTATAATAAAGCAAATTATAAAGGAAATACCTCCAATCTTCATTTGTGAAATTCGAGCATGTGGTTCGATAAAATTTGAATTTGCCGCGGTTATATAAACGGAATTAGAATGCTGATATAAATATATTTATAGCATTTATACTTCAACAAATGCTACTATAAAAGTTTTATATTTGAATCAGACTTATCCATGTTTATTAATATATTTGTATATCCCAAGTGCAGGGCATTTTTTAAGAATTCGTCAGTGGGGGGGCCATCTACAAAAAGGGACCATACTATACCGAGTGTGGAGCAATGATAGATGGTTTGTTGGTAACAAAACGTTTGGTGTGGTATCGCATTTAATAGTAGGGGGGGAGAGCAGGGCCGTAGGAAGCTCTTTTCGTTTGGGGGGGCTGAAAGCGAGGGCCGAAGGCCCGAGGAAATTTTTAAATTTAGAGTCTCTGACATGCCATTTCCTGGACTTTGGGGAAGATTTGACAGATTTCTGATTGTCAGAAAACAGCGTTTTTAGTATGTGGAAATTTAGAATTCAGTAGTACTAAATGGACGAAGGTGTATTTAATTACCTAACGATACAGTATATTGGATAAGTTGCAGGAAAGTATGGGTAATATCTTCATTCTTTGCAGTTTGTCATGGATTAAATAATAAAGGTCTGCATGATTTTGAAAAATGAATGATTATTAGCAAATTATTGGGGGGCTGCAGCCCCCAGCCCCCCCCCCCGCGGTTGCTACGGCCTTGGAGAGGGTCTGGGGTTTTCTCCCCCAGAAAATTTTTGTATTTTTCTACCCCATGACTGCAATTCCCTGCATTTTCTGAAACAGATTTTTGGATATACAGCATCACATTATGATGTAGATAGACTGAACCTTCAGTTAAGTACTTGCATAGTATGTTTATGTAGATACCACAACTTGGCCGTCACTTAGGGAGCCAGCTTGATAAACTTAGAGTTCCCGACTCCCACGAAGCGCCACCATGGTTAGCACAGAGCGGAAAAACTATGAAATTTTGCGTCTCTAAATCATCGGAAATGGCATTTACAAAGTCTTCTATAATTCTTTTGTTTGGCCCTTTCATTAATTTTTTCATTATGACTTGGGAGTCTATGATATCCGCGAGTCAGGATGGATTATTACGAGAAATGTTATCAAAATATCGATTACAGATATTTGATTATATGTATATATGATTTCAAATACTTCTAGTTACGAAATCAAATTGGTTTTTTTTTTGGTGGGGGCCAAAATTATCACCCCCCCTCTTATAAAACACTTGGTTGAGGGCCTGTTGCCCCCTGCGGTCACTAACTTGTCCAACAACTCAAACTCTATAGGGTCTGGGAAATGCAATCCACTCGGCCTGGGAAATGTTTAAAATCTAATAAGGTATTTATTAAACATAAAAGACAGGACATAAGATTCACAAAGCAAATTTCAGTTACTAGAATATCAAACCTCCCTTCTAAATTCCATGTTTTGCTTATATTTTAGAGAAAAGGGACTTTGACTGGGGGGGCCAAAATGGTTGGGTGGGGGGGCCACCATGGGGGCTGGGGGGGCTTTGGCCCCCCCAGTTATATAGTTAAAAAATGCCCTGCCCAAGTGCCAGATTAATTGTAAATTGTCAGCCATATTTAATTTCAATTCAATTTTTTTTCAATTCAATTTAATATTACAAGTTAAAAACAAACAAGTTACACACTACACTAACCCGCAAGTAGTTAAAAACTAATCTAGGCGGGTATAGTGTTGATTAGAAAATTTAACTACTTGCTCAAATCAGCAGCAGTATTTATTCATATGTTTTGTTTAAATTAAACAATTTTCATTTTGAGAGGTCTTGCACCAGTCAATGTATTAAAATCTGTTAGCCTTTAGACATGCTTTAGTGTAATGCCAGGAAAATTATCCATGTTTTTCTATTAATTAAACATAACTATGTGATGGTATTCAAATTAACCAGACTCTCTGCTAGCTTACATTTCATGCAAACTTGTTAAGATGAATGTGCTCAACTTTCAGTACTTTTTTATTTTTATTAATGATCTGGTCTAACACCAGATCATTTTACTTGAAAGAGAGTGGACAACTTTGATAGGTTACCTTGCTGTCTCCCTGTGTTTTGTGTAAACTCATTAAGACCCAATTCACAAATTCACACTAATGTGCTCTATTTCAAAGCTCACTATTTTGCCCTGTTAATACCAGACTATTTTGCATTATTTGGCGTTAGCACATTTAGATGCAATTCACCCTAACACTCAATCCCCACTTTCAGTACTTTGATATTTATCAGATGATTTTACTCATCAAAATGAATGTTGGACATTGAAAGGTTAATAATTAACTGCAAAAGCTGCTGTGTGGCATATTTACTTTGTTATTTTACTGTGTTTATTCTATTAAAGTGCTAGACTCTCCACTTAGAGTAAAATAATAAATTGGGTGCATTTGGGCATATTTAATGGGTTAACAAAACACATTGGAATGGTATACATAAAATAAATGTGTTTGTCTTTTTACAGCTATCAACAAAGTATGAATGTAAGGCCTCAGAGGTTCGTCAACATATGAGGACAAATATAAACAACATGGGAAAGTGTTGCAAAGTACAGAAAAGCAAACAAGAACAAGAACTTATTTGAGGACTATGTTTTGAGGCCAGTTTTAAACTTAACTTTAAATGTCAATTATGGTTATTACCTATGGTTTAGCCCATTAAGTGCCAGCGCTCTGACGAGTAAAATCGTCTGGCGTTAGACAGAGTAAACTATAGTAAAATAATAAAGTAGGGCGCATCAGGGCGCAATGTGATTCAATGGGTTAACTAAACACATATATAGGAATATAGGCTAGTTAACCCATTCGGAGCCAGCATTTCCCCTTGACATTCAAGTACAATTGTCTGGAGTTAGACAGAGTAAAATAGTCTGGCATTAGACAAAGTAAAATAGTTAGACAGAGTAAAATAATAAAGTAGGACGCATCATATGGCATTGCATTGAGGTAGAACGATTAATTTGGCACAATAGGTGAAAACTATAATTGATTTGTAATGTTTAGTATAACCAATTTCTCATATGAATTTTTATATTTGCAATATTAATTAGTATTTATTAATATTTATATCTATTTTTTGCATTAAAAAATTAAGAGTGATGAACAACATTGTCTGTCATTTACTATTATTTCATCTAGATTCTAGAATTTCTGCAGGAATACCAAAAATCTTATAGGAAATTAGAATAAATTATTTTCTTATAGGAAATTCCTATAATAATTTGGGACTAGACTTGAGAATTCTTATAGGAATTCTTCCTATTAAATTCTTATAGAAATTCCTGTAGAAAAAATTCCTATAGGAATTTTTCCTATAGGAATTCCTATAGGAAAAATTCCTATAAGAATTTGGGACAAAATTCCTATAGGAATTTTTCCTATAGGAATTCCTATAGGAAAAATTCCTATAGGAAAAATTCCTATAGGAATTTTGTCCCAAATTCTTATAGGAATTTTTCCTATAGGAATTTTTTCTAAGGGCTTCCTATAGGAATT